TCAGAATCGTATTTCGTCAGTTCCGTATTTCGTCAAAACCGTATTCTATCAGAATCGTATTCCATCAGTACAGCATTCTGTAAATACACTAAATATCCAATTATCACAGATAACTTCATCACAGTTAGATGCACAGAATATTTGTGTTAGTACCGCCGAATGCATATAGATGCTGTTCAGGGTTTGTTTGGGATGATTTTCGATTTTTTGATGAATCAAACTACTGATTGAAACAAACGCAACAAGCACATTTTTTACTAAATGGAACATTGAATATCTTCGCGATAATTCAACATATTCTGCTGCCGTGTTTTCATTCTGAAAATGAAGATTTCACTATTATAAATCTAGAAAATATCGAAGAATTTCCCATGCTTCCCATTTGACGAAAAATGTTTGGGAAGTTTTCCAGTCATATTCCTATAACGCAAAAGAATATACAGGGTGATTCAGGTTTTAAGGCACGAACTGAAATGGGAGATAGATCTCATTATATTAATCACAAAAGTTCATACAAACATTAGTCCGATCTCGTTCAGTAGCGGAGCTACAGGGGGTCAAAGTTTAATTATTTTTTTTTATCAATTGAAATATCTCGCTTACTTTTCAAGATATCATTTTGAAATTTGGTGTAGTCAATACTTCCTAGAAGATCATCATTTCGAGCATTTTGAAGATTTTCAAAATCTACAGGGTTATACGTTTTTGGAGGTAGAGGCTTTTTATCCCCTCCAAACTTCTTCGTAGTACGCCTCTTGCATCTTTCAGTGATCAAATTGTGTAGATCGTTCAGTTTAGAGGCTTTTTTTGCTCCTCAATATTTTCCGATAAACGATCGATCATCGAATGTATCTTTGAAAGCTTTCTATCTCCTTGAAATTTTAGAATTCTACCTCCATATGATCGAAAAAATCAGAATACTTTTAATATGTACAGAGATGTGCACAACAAACGGCCAGTGCTATGTTATTTCTGATTCATTCGGGATCAGATCCTGATCAATTGACAAAATATCAGTTCTGTCACTTCCAGTTTCACCGGAAATCATACCAACTGCTGATTTTTTAATGTTTATTATTTCATGATTTGGCAATGAGGATTATCATAACGAGTTCTAGGATAGCGGGTTTGACAGGGTTATTTCAAACGAATACGAAGATAATGGCGTTCTTAGCTTCTATATGCCCAATGAGTGTGACAGAGAAGTACAGATATTGCGAAGTAACACCCATTGAGCATTTATGGAATAATCTAAATCAAATACCTTCGTGAACATTTGAAATAACCTTATCAAACCTGGTATCACTGAATTCGTCATAAGAATACCTAAACTATTATGGAATATAACGCAGTGCGTCCAATTTGAAGATACAAAGTTGGGTTCGTTTCTGCTGACACAGGAAGTGATCGAACTAAAATTGTCTTGTCAATTGATGAGAAATTCAGTATATTTTCAAATTCCGAAATCGAATGATTCAGAAGTTACAGTTGTGTCCGTTTTTCGTGCACTTTTCTGTATATTTGATAATCATATAAGAAACGTAACATTAGTCTGGAACAGTTGGCAACAAATTCAAAACTTGTTCTTTATTAATTTCAGGAAAACATGTTATTCGTCGTGAAAAGGTTCGCCAGGCTTGAAATCGTTGACCCAAATATTAGTTATCAAAGTTTTTCAGTCTTATACGGGGTATGTCAAAAAATATTAATTTTGGCTCCTGTTATTCATTATTCAGGTATAACTGAATTAATATCTCTTCAAATGAAACACAGTATATTTTTTATATTTATAAATTGATATTTTGTGAAATACTGCCTGTAGGTTAATCGAGGAGGTGGTACATTCATTATTCCATTTTTTTTGGGATTTTCTCTCCTCGTTTCTATAAAATGAAAATATGAATATTATTCCAATATACGTGTAGTAAGGACAAATTAGATGATTTGCCCCAAGATGTCACTGCGTTTAAAGAATTTTCCTATCAGAGAGCCTAGGGAATTTTTTGTTTTAGGCTCTCTGATTGGAAAATTCTTCAAACGCAGTGACATTTTGGGGCAAATCATCTGATTTGTCCTTACTACACGTATATCGAAATAATATTCTTATTTTTATTTTATAGAGACGAGGAGAGAAAATCCCGAAATAATTGGAATAATGATATTTTGTGCTTTTCGAAAACACAATAAAGTTATATAAGTACGAAATTTTGGGTATTAGCCTTGTATATAGATAATTTTCAGTTTCAGATAGTTTCACACTTTCATATTCACCTTGTTGTGTTGAAAATGAGAAGATATACCATTAGGACATCAAAAATGGTAAAGTCAGTACAATTCGATCAATGAAACGGGCTGATGGATTTCCGATAGGAAAGTTCATTCATTACTCCTGTGAGCCGCACTTTTATGAAGATTAGAACATCTACTTATAAAACTGATAATATTATCGATAAAATCGATAAAATCGATATAATCGATATAATCGATATAATCGATATAATCGATATAATCGATATAATCGATATAATCGATATATAATCGATACCTATAATCGATGTAATCGATATAATCGATATAATCGATATAATCGATATATAATCGATACCTATAATCGATGTAATCGATATAATCGATATAATCGATATAATCGATATAATCGATATAATCGATATAATCGATATTATCGATATAATCGATATAATCGATATAATCGATATAATCGATATAATCGATGTAATCGATGTAATCGATATAATCGATATAATCGATATAATCGATATAATCGATATAATCGATATAATCGATACAATCGATATAATCGATATGATCGATGTAATCGATTTTTTTTTTTCGGTGTCATCGATACTATCAGTATTATCGACATTATCGTCGTCTGTATAACGACAAAGCTTGGGAATTTTTCTCCAATGGAAGTATTTCCAAGAACTTATTATCCAGAAGTTGGAAAAAGAATTCAACACCTACCGCCTCTTTCTGTACTTCCTAGGTACGAACGATGTTCTCAAAACATTATGGGAATTTCCTTTTGTGCGTTCCAAGAGATGCAAAAATAAAAAAAAATCAATACAAGATCAACAAGAATAACGTTGGTTCATTCTTTCAATATTATTCTGTTTTATACGTCCACAGAATAAATCTCATTATAGTAAGGAGAGCTGGCTGCCCGAAGGATTGAGAAAACATTGTAGTTGATCGAACGGCACCTGTGCCAATCACTATCCTGAGCAGAATGATAGGATGATCAGATGTCATAATTCTCATTTTGTTATCAAATGGCGGAATCGAGTGCAAATTTCCGCACAG